ATGGTTGACCTCACAATTTTATGCAACTTATCTCTAATTTTTAATGTTTATCTTAATTCAGAGGTCATCCATGGTTTATCATTAGGTCTCATAGTTACATCTTTTGATGGAATACAGATATTTGCAAATTTTAGGAACGTATCAGTAAAACGATTACAGGCAGTATCAACTGAATCACAATTTTAAAAAAGTTCATTCCAATTATAATCAGAAATAAGATAATTAAATCTGTCAAAATTTGCCCGCTTATATAGCCAAATGTTTCGCTTAAAAATAGGTTTGACAATACAGGAAATATCAATGCAAGCAATACTACCGTCATGGTCACTCAATGATTTGTCTATAGTTATAACAGAGGAATCAATACAGGAAAGCGAGTCGGTTAAAAGTAAAGGATCAAGTAGACTAGATCGAGTCGGTCCAATACGAGTTGGTTAATTAATCTCTGGCTTTATACGTCTCTGATTGATAACATTGATAACATTTGACATACTAAAGGAATTAATAATATCAAGAGCAACATGGTTACGAGATTCAGTTATTAAGTCGACATTAAAATCCCCCGTGATTATAACATTTGGTGAAATATCTAGAGCAAGGTTTAAAGACGTACGTAAATTTTCCCAAACCAGAATTTTCAGGTCTGTAGGCCGAACCAATAACCAATACAAAATTTGGTAGAATGATTTTTTACCAAATAATCTCATCACCTGGATATTCAAATTCCAGCAAACGGTCAGCTTTTAATATACCACTGATATAAACCAGAACACCACCACCAGCAAAATTTCTATCATGTCGAAAAGGTACATAAAAACCAGTTATAAGTAAGTCATCTGTAGAGCCCTGATCATCTAAATGAGTTTTAGTTCAGCATATAATATCATATTCACCAGATCTCCTCTATTTAGTCCAATTTATTCCTAACACTTTGACAAAGAGGATAATGGCTCTCTCAGGTGTAGAACTAGTTAGTATACTACATAATGATATGATTTGTGTTCGTAAGTTGATAACACAATCGTGATACTGTTCAATCGGATGATTGTGGAATTGCAATGTTTAATAGCACTTTGAGTGATTATATTGTTCGTCATATTTTCTTTTAAAATCTGGGAACAGGCGTCGCAGAAACATCACTTGGTAGTGCGATAGGTCTTGCCAAGTGTCGTTTTAAATATCCCATCGTGTGCTTGATTAAATGTTTATCTCGTCTATTCGAAGAATAGGGGGGGGGCTATAGCAGTACCCACGGCGTCGGCTCCCCACTTGGTTCAAGTTTTTGGGCAAGCTGTGTTTTGGTGTGTAACTCAACTTTTAATTAATTTTACATTGTAATATGGTTACGGCGATAGCTTGGAGGTTCCTTAGCAACAAATTGGACCATATCTGCTCAATATTGGTCCGAAACACAAGTCTTTTGGAACTGGTTAAAGTTCTCGGGCAAGTTACACAGGTTAAAGTTTTAGGGCAACTTCTTGTTCTTCTGAAACGACTGGTCAGATTTCAACCAAATATAGCAGGAAACATCCCGAGGGGAAGGAGATTCAATATTGTACAAACCCTGATCCTACCAGGGGACAGGTGGGCGGGGCCCTAAGGGGAAAATTTGACAGTTTAAACGACATCTCCTTCAAGGTAGGAACTTGAAACTTTAAGTCATGGTAGATATATGTAAGGGGAAGTGCACAACACCTTAGGCATTTTGACATGACCCATAGGAGCCGAGCCAGAAGGGGTTGGGTCATGGGGGTCATATTTTTTTATTTTTTTTTAAATATAGTCTTATAGCATATCTAATCAAACATAATCATGAGTTCTACATTTGAAAGCAAACTATTTTAGCATATGGTGATGGGGTAGGGATAGGGGTACTTGAGGGAACTTGAAGGATTAAGGGTAAAACAACTTTTTCTACACTGTTTGAGATAGGAACTTACATCATTTAAACATGGAAGATATATGTATGGAGAAGTGCACAACCCTTTTGGATTTTAAATTTAATATAAACTTTATTTATTTTACAAGTTATTTCAACTTATATTAATCACTCTAGTTGGGCCCGGATGTTAGCATGGGGGTGGGTCTTGGCGTGGGAGGAAACCGGAGTACCAAGAGAAAACCCATGTGGTCGGGCAGGTGACCCCAACCTTTTCACGTCCGATTGGGGAATCGAACCCCGGCCGCCTTGGTGAAAGGCAAGTGCGCTATCCACTGAACCACCGGACCACCCGATTTAAAAACATGACCCCCAAGGGCCGGACCAGAGGGTTGGGGTCAAATCTTTTCAAATCAGACTTGTAGCATATCAAATCAAACATTATCATGATTTCTACATTTTACAGCAATTTATTTTAGCATATAATGATGGGGTGGGGGTGGGGTCGGGGGTGGGGGTGGGGTACTTAAGGGGTAAAAAACTTTATAACTTTTACACATATAATATATATATAAAGCATAAAACAGTTACTGGCATGGGTTTAAAAAGAAATTATAACACAACAAGTTATGGCTTATTAGATTCACAAATGTTGGCAATAGACGAGTTGAGCTGTTCTACGATAGCTCCTGTTTTGGTTTCCAATACAACAAAATAGTGACGACTTGACACCATTGATTATATTCATTTACCGGTCAACTTAGCCAAAACCTGGTAAAACTGACTAAGCAAGAACTATAAACGTCTATCCGGAACTAATTTATTTAGACCGTTAATGATACAACTCGCAACACGAATATTTATATTTATAGCAAAAGGGGTAATGAACAAATAAAGTTGGAATGAAAAACATTTTCATAATTGATAATTTCTCGCATTCCCATTGGCAGAATTCTTAACATGTTACCAGTTTTCAAATACTCATTTAGAACGGTTTTTCCGGTGAATATGGATATATTATACATGTAATACATTTAACAGAATACCATCCATCTCTCTTGCATTTTATCAAGCACCAATCAGACGACAACAACGAAACATGATGACTGCTGGTGGACGTGATGTACTGATAAATACGCAATAAATGCCACCAACACCGGTGCACTTCTTCCTAGCATTTTTAATGGAAAATAATGTCGACGATGTCTTTAAAAGCCAAAATTTCGTCGGACGTGTAAATTTGTTTATCATATTACAAAGAAACATGTGCAAGTTCTTCTATAAGCATTACCATGAGAAATTGCGTTCATATAGCTATGAACGCAAGTCGATCAGTCATTTTGAAGATTCCCCTCCCGCCTCGATTAACATGAGGCAACCTTAAATCAAACATTTCGTTGACGTTAGACTGTTCAAAAAACCTTGTTTGCGCTGATGACACAGACACTTCCATATCGAAAATATAAGGGAATATCTATATTGATGTCAATAATAGCTAACTATTTTGAATGTAAAAATAATGTTTGAACGGCATTTTTTTCAATGTTCATGCCGGAATGAATGAAAATCTGTTGCATACAAAGGTTTCCTGGAATATGTGTGTAACCGATTTGCGTTTATACGATCATGAAATTGAAAAACATACCTCAGTTTAGGTCCAAATATAGATTTAACAAATCCTCATGTCCCTGTGATGTAGAATAGAGATAAGTTGTTTATCGAATCAAGTCCAGCTATATGTATATGAATTATGTTTTAGGGAAGGTGGAGCATGCAATCACATTTCGGCGTTGCCTTACGCATTAGTGGATGTTTCAGAAAAAACATAAGAGAGAGACGTCATGCTTCCACATCGAAAGTTTGTAAATGGACCTAACCACGAAAACGCAAACTAAGTCCAAAAACAGCGGAACAACTGTCTTAAAAAAATAGAAATGGAAGCTGACAATGATAAGAGAGATAACGGTATTTTAAACGTTACTGACAAAAATGTTGAGAAAGACAGCAAAGTCAATATTAATAGATTTGCAGAGAAATTAATAGGTTTTCGTACATGGTGTAACATACCCTTAGTTTCGTTCTGACTATAACTTTAGCAGAACTTGGGCAGAGCACAATGACAGGAGGCCAAGGGCTCGAATCAAGGCTGTGAACCCGTTGCAATTTTAGAATATTCCAGAACACTGTTGTTGATTATTTTATTTATTATTATTTATCGCCTTTTCATAAACAAAATTCTGCAAGGTATCGGTGTCTTTTTAGAAATTACTCATTAAAATTAACTTTCTTCCCGCTTAAAAGAAGTTTCCGATTCCTAACACAGTGATGCGGGGGTCCCTACAAGTTCTTGATTTCTAATAAAACCAAAAAGCATTCGATACAAGGTTCTTTGTATACCTTCTTACAAGGCGCCATCTTCCTTAAATTAGATATACCGATGGTGTCAGAGCTGTAGCCGAGACAGATAGGTATACATGCATTAGAGAGTCTGAAAAAGTCATTTGACAACGATGCTTATGTACAAGTAGATCAAAAGGATAGTATATGTTGCAGTGCCGAAAGCACGGAATTAGATCTAAAATCCTGCAAAAATCTAAGTGTTTCGCTGAAATCGTTTTTGAACGGTACACCTTTGTTTAATTAACAGTGACAATGTTTAAAACATTCTACAACTACACAACTTGGCCTTCTCCTGATCAAAGGTCTTCCGCACCTTCTATAATGTAGGGGATCGAATACTGTAACCGATCAGTGACCTTGTAAGTGTTAAGTATTGGTAACGACTGCCTAGTTAGATAGTAAAACATGCGAAAACGAAGTCATAATTTTATTGGAAAAAATTGCCTTTGAAAGTTGCCAACTTTAATAATCATTTCATCTGTATTCAAAAGCGTCCATATGTTTTCTTCCTTTTTAATCGAAGGGATCCTTGTAAAAAGTAAAAGCACGGAATTAGACTATCTTAGTCCGTGGTAAAATCGTGGGAAAAGTCTGTATTTATTTCTGCATCCAAACGTGATAGGAAGGGGGATAACTCCTGCGAGTTTGAATTAATATTTCACTAATAAAAGGTGAAGTGCCACATTCTTGTCTATAAATACACCTTGAAGAACCAGTTATATTGCTCAAAGAATAGAAAACAAGAATTGAACTCCACACAAAGGATGGTCAAATAATAGTCACCAAACCAGTTGCGTTTGTCTTACTCGGCCTTCAGCCCGGCCAGGTAGTTATTCAGGAAACCCACTGGGGCGTGGAGGTTCCTGGGACATTTCGCTTTGGATTATCACTCATCGACGAATGTAAAGACTTATTTACTCACTGAGTAGGCGGTTTCGAACAGGTATGTACATACACGGAGAAATTATAATAGTTATTTCTATAATGACTAGTGACTCGTTAGACGGGTGGATTGAATAGGTAGAGCACACACATATGTACCGCGTATGCCTATAGTAGCAGGCGTTACACACGGCTTGTTAGGGTGTGTCTATGTCGGAGGGTTTAGGGCAGGGATTTGGACAGCTAGGTAATTGACAGGTGAGTTTTTGAATTATGTTTATCTGTGTTCTATCATGTTTTATTTTTGTCAATCAATGCTTATTGTCTTTATGTCTAATTGGCCGACTGTGTGCGATCGTAGCGGGCTAGCGGCAGTGAAAGTGATTTGATCAGCGACATTAGTAGAACAGATATCGGTAAATACTAGCGCTATTTACACGTGTGTAAACAAGTGTTAAAATATGGTTTACAAAATGTTTTATCAATAAAATACGGCTAGGATGTTTTTGTGTCGGTCTTCATCAGCTTAAGAATCAGTAAGATTTTTATTTTTTTAAACTGTGTTTGTCATCTGATAATCTGATAAAATTAAATCCAAGGACAGATGTATACTCTTTTTATAGTCTAAATCTCGGCTATTTGTATTTCGCAATAGCATTGATGTTTCATTGCGCTATTGTAGTTTGGTACAGTTAGAAAGGCATTGATCTTCACTCTTTATTATATATCTGGACACCAGGGGTGTAAACATACAAGACATACGTGTTCATGCCTGCTAGTATTAATGTTTGTTTACCAATCATCCCTTTGTTTATTCACATTTCAGCTACTCTGGGGATCATGTTTTTATTTAACTCTCCGACACATGACTCGTTTAGATGAAAAATGTTTGAATAAACGTGTTTTTTTATTAGATGTAAACCGACGGTTTTACCTATTGGGTTTGTAATTAACAGGTGAAGTGTGTAAACAACAGGAGCAGGTAAAGCGACGAAGGCTTCACGTGGACGTAATCAGGGTCAGCAAGGACACTAGTGATCACGATGTCACAGTCGATACAGAAATGGTGTGTCCTGTGCATACTGATGCTGATACTGGTGCTGGCAGTGGTCGGGTTTGGCACCCCAAGTTGGTACCGTCTCCGGGTAGCCAGTGTGAGTCCTTACGAGTACACGGCCGGATTCTTCCAGGCCTGCACGTCGTCCCAGTGTACCGACTACCTGTCATACACCGGACTGAACACGTACGACAGTAAGTATGATAGCTTCAATAGCAACGTGCCATAAAGATTTTATTATAAAGGTTCTTGAGTAATAGTTAATATGTATACATATTTATGCAAATATTTACATAGTTAAATAAGTAGTGTCGTATTGTATAACACATCCCCCCNGCAAACTGATCGAGGACATACATTTGAACATTCTGATCGTGGAATCGAACTCCGACCGTCTGCGTGAAAGGCGAATGCGCTAACCAGCTATCCAACGGCTATACCAAACAGAATGGTCGTGTTCATAAACAGGCCAATTAACGGCTTGAATCTGTCCTACCTTAATGTAACAAACAACAAACGTGTCTGACTGGACATGGAAAAACATACTTTCAAAAAACTATCAATCTTCCGTCGGCGAAAACTATTAAAACACTATTTTAAAAAAAAAAAATCTTTGAAAGTTTAAGTGTGCAACATGATATTGAAGCTCTGCTGTGTAAGGAAACTGGTTTTACTTGGTATAACATTACACAACGACCGGTATGAGCGTTGGAGGGGTGTCGGATGGCCTTGGCCATTTTAGGAGATAAGTATGGTACAGTGATTCTAACTGAAGAACCCGTTAAGTTTTTTAGAAGTCGAGCTTTTCAACTTTATTGTGTCGCATGGTATCCAAATTGAAAGGCACTGCTTTTTAAATTTTTCGCTACTGAGCTTTTACCCGCAAACACATTGCATTCCAGGCGTTAAATCTATCCGTGGAGCTTTCATCCATTACAACCTGTTAGCCTGGTTTAAAATGTGTTTTCGATATGTAAATAATAATGAGATGATGCATAACTGACAATAAACCTGCATGGCTGCTATTGTGGAAATATTTTGTTTCTCTTCGTCGTACACATTATAACCAATCTTTTTAAATGACAGAATGGTTTGCTATGCCTCATGTGATAAAAGAAGTAAGGAAATTAAGCAATATTACGATACCGTTGTTAATGATGCATGTATGTGCAGACAGTAACCGTACTAAAGCAGAATTAAGTGTACTTTCGATTTCGATATCCTTGGCTTAGAACATAATTTGTTAAACCTGTGTGGTCAGCGTTACATAGAACATCTGTCTTATGGTCGTATTTTGGAATTTTATCGCTTAGTTTTGGAAACATTTTAAGGACTAAGACATTGCGTCGTTTCCGAAACAAATGTCCTAGATCTTATCACCATCTGCATCGTTTCCGAAACTAATGTCCTAGCTCTTATCACCATCACCCTCTGGGCAGCAAGTTTTGTTTGGTAAGATAAAGTTTGTTGTCGCAATTTTCCAAGAAGTACTTGACAGATCTTTCTCAAATATACTGCGGAGGCTCCCCGGCCCATGGTCTGTAGATCGGTAAAACAAGATGGCCACCAGTCTGCTATCTCCGATTTGACAGGTTAAGTTTGTTATCACTTTCTCAAGGAGTACTCGACAGATCTACGCCATTTTATAAAACGGCCTTTACAAAAAGGTTCCCCCTGGCCTATAGTTGTGTATATTTCATTGTGAAACTGATAAACAAGGAAGCTGTCCACCAGTCAGTTATCCTGGATTTTGTACAAACTTAACACGTAAACTATCCATATTGCGTACAAGACTGTCTGAGTAGCAATAAATCACCACCGCGGTACTTGTTAGACTAGTGGGACAGCTAATGAGCTGCTAAGAAAGTGTCTCTTGACGGCCGAACACAATAGCCACCCAGCGTCATGCTAGGGATAATCACTGACTAAGGCGACAACCTGGTGGGAAAACCAGATTATATTAAATCTCAAGGTCATATCAGGCTCAAGGGCTGCTATCTGAAAGAGACTCTCAAATTCCTAAATAGGACGTTTTCTTCTAGTCGATTTTTATCACTTTGCACAGTATAAAGTAAGTGGCTGGGTTTGTTTCTAGCCATTGATGAATGACTTTTTGTCTCGCCTGCGACGGAGTCGCAAAGCGAGACAAAGGCGTTACTTTTCCGACGACGGCGGCGGCATCAACATTTCTGTTAAACTCAAAATTTCTCTCTAAGTACATAAGCTATCATAATGGAACCTGAAATATACTTGTACCTATATATAACAATTCAAACGCACATTTCAGATTCAGAATTTTAGCAAAAAATTACTGTTTATGGGACTTTATTAATTTGGCCATGTTAACGTTTTCCGTTTAGCTCCACATTGAGCTAAATTTCTCTCAAAGTACATATACTTATATCTATATATAACTATCCAAACGCACATTTCAGATTCATAATTTCAACTAGAATTTACTGTTAATTGGATTTTGTTAATTAATTGAGCCATATTAAAGTTTTCCGTTTTGTAGGGTGTTGAGTTTAATTTCTTACAAAGTATATGTGCTGTCATAACCAAACCCGGATTATGCTTATATCTTTGCATTTTGTTATTAATTACTTATACAATGTGTATTTTGTCACCGTGAACTCAGCTGCAACATCCATTTTCTGATTTGACAAAATAGCCACCTTATAAGGGCTTCTAATTGGTCAAAATTCAGTTATTGTTCGATTACAATCAAATTTGGAAAATACAGTACATGTATTTTGGCACTGCAAACTCAGTCGCAACATTCTTTTTCTGATTTGACAATATGGTTGCCGTATATTGGCTTCTGATTGGTCGAAATTCAGATATTGTTCGATTTCGCTCAAATTTGGTATGTACATGACTTCCGTTCACCTATTTACATTTTTTTTCTGAATGCGCGGTTAGTTTGGGGGGACATCTGTAATGGCCAGCTCGCATTACAATTAGCACTTGTGCCTTTTAAACCTTCATGTTGATGTATTGCCAAACTTGTTTATAAAATATAAAATTCCGAACTTCGGCTCAAACTTACAATGCTTGACATATTGAATCTTATGCTCAAAGCGGGGACAGGCGAGACATATAATTACGCGTAATTCTTGTTCTGTAGAATAGATGTACGTGTAAAACTACTGGAAAAACACATTTTTGATGAAAGCATAGCGTCAATGGCCTGTTTAGGGGGTCTCTTTGTGAGGATTAAAAACTGTTGTTTACAGCAGCATAGAATTCTGACTAGTTTTATCGTTTATACATAATCCTCTTATCTTTTATTTGTTTGTGCGAAAAACACCAATGGACGCTATATTTCTTTTACGTCTTTGACCACAGGGGCATGGATAGCTCTATTTGTAATATCAAAAATTAGTGGTCTCCTCTACTAATTTTTTTTTTTAGTAGAGGAGACCACTATTTATTAATATTACAAGTAAAGCGATCCATGCCCCTGTGTCTTTGACCTTCCATTGACACAACCAGTGGGTCAGGGATTGTACGTCCATTGACACGACCAGTGGGGTAGGGATTGTACGGCCTTTGACACGACCAGTGGGGTAGGGATTGTACGTCCATTGACACTACCAGTGGTTCAGGGATTGTACGTCCTTTGACACGACCAGTGGGTTAGGGATTGTACGTCCATTGACACGGCCAGTGGGTCAGGGATTGTACGTCCATTGACACGACCAGTTTGTCAGGGATTGTACGTGTACGGCCTTTGACACGACCAGTGGGGTAGGGATTGTACGTCCATTGACACGACCAGTGGGTCAGGGATTGTACGTCCATTGACACGACCAGTTTGTCAGGGATTGTACGTGTACGGCCTTTGACACGACCGGTGGGACAGGGATTGTACGTCCATTGACACGACCAGTGGGTCAGGGATTGTACGTCCTTGGACACGACCGGTGGGGCAGGAATTGTGGGGCAGAGATTGTACGTCCTTTGACATGACCGATGGGGCAGGGATTGTAGTCCTTTGTCATGGCCGGTGGGGCAGGAGTTGTACAGTAATCACACATGATGGGTGGGGCAGGGGTTGTATACGTCTTTTGTCATGGCCGGTGGGTCAGATATTGTACGTTTTTTGTCACGATCGATTGGTCAAGGATTGTACGTCCTTTGTCTTGACCGTTGGGGTAGGGATTTTACGTCCTTTGACACGAACGGTGAGGCAGAGATTGTACGTCCTTTGACATGACCGATTGGAAAGGGGTTGTACAGTAATCACGCATGACCGATGGGGTAGGGATTGTACGTCCTTTTACACGACCAGTGGGGCAGGAATTGTACGTCCATTGACACGACCAGTGGGTCAAGGATTGTACGTCCTTTGACACGACCAGTGGGGCAGGAATTGTACGTCCTTTGTCATGACCGGTGGGGCAGGGGTTGTACGTCCTTTATTTTTCCATGACCGGTGGGGCAGAAATTGTACGTCCTTTGTCATGATCGATGGGGCAGGGATTATAGTCCTTTGACATGACCGGTAGGGCAGGGATTGTACGTCCTTTATTTTGCCACGACCGGTGGTGCAGAAATTGCACGTCCTTTGTCATGACCGGTGGAGCAGGGATTGTAGTCCTTTTTCATGACCGGTGGGGCAGGGATTGTAATCCTTTGTCATGACCGGTGGGGCAGGGATTGTAATCCTTTGACATGACCGGTAGGGGAGGGATTGTAAGTTCTTTTTTTTGTCACGATCGGTGGGTCAAGGATTGTACGTCCTTTGACACGACCAGTGGGGCAGGAATTGTAGTCCTTTTTCATGATCGGTGGGGCAGGGGTTGTAATCTTTTGACATGACCGGTAGGGCAGGGATTGCAGTCCTTTGACATGACCGGTGGGGCAGGGATTGTAGTCATTTGACATGACCGGGGGGGCAGGGGTTGTAGTCCTTTGACACGACGGGTGGGGCAGGGATTGAAGTCCTTTGACATAAACGGTGGGGCAGGGATTGGCGTCATTTGTCATGACCGGTGGGGCAGGGCTCCTAATCCTTTGTCATGACCGGTGGGGCAGGAATTGTACGTCCTTTGTCATGACCGGTGGAGCAGGGATTGTAGTCATTTTTCATGACCGGTGGGGCAGGGATTGGAATCCTTTGTCATGACCGGTGCGGCAGGGATTGTAGTCCTTTGACATGACCGGTGGGGCAAGGACCGTAGTCCTTTGTCATGACCAGTGGGGCAGGAATTGTAGTCCTTTGTCGTGATCGGTGGGGCAGGGATTGTAGTCATTTTTCATGGCCGGTGGGGCAGGGATTGTAGTCATTTTTCATGGCCGGTGGGGCAGGGACTGTAATCCTTTGTCATGACCGGGGGGGGAGGGATTGTAATCCTTTGACATGACCGGTGGGGCAAGGACCGTAGTCCTTTGTCATGACCAGTGGGGCAGGAATTGTAGTCCTTTTTCATGATCGGTGGGGCAGGGGTTGTAATCTTTTGACATGACCGGTAGGGCAGGGGTTGTACGTTCTTTATTTTTCCACGGCCGGTGGTGCAGAAATTGTACGTCCGGAGCAGGGATTGTAGTCCTTTTTCATAATCGGTGGGGCAGGGATTGTAGTCCTTTTTCATGGCCGGTGGGGCAGGGACTGTAATCCTTTGTCATGACCGGTGGGGCAGGGACCGTAGTCCTTTGTCATGACCGGTGGGGCAGGAATTGTAGTCCTTTGTCATGATCGGTGGGGCAGGGATTGTAATCCTTTGACATGACCGGTAGGGCAGGGATTGTAAGTTCTTTATTTTGCCACGACCGGTGGTGCAGAAATTGTACGTCCTTTGTCATGACCGGTGGGGCAGGGATTGTAGTCCTTTGTCATGACCGATGGGGCAGGGATTGTAATCCTTTTTCATGACCGTTGTCGCAGGGATTGTAGTCCTTTGACACGACAGTGGGGCAGGGATTGAAGTCCTTTGACATTACCGGTGGGGCAAAGGTTGTAGTCCTTTGTTATGACCGGTGCGGCAGGGATTGTAGTCCTTTGTCATGACCGATGGGGCAGGGATTGTAATCCTTTTTCATAACCGGTGTGGCAGGGATTGTAGTCCTTTGACACGACAGTGGGGCAGGGATTGAAGTCCTTTGACATTACCGGTGGGTCAGGGATTGTAGTCATTTGACATGACCGGTTGGGCAGGGATTGTAGTCCTTTGCCATGATCGGTGGGGCAGGGATTGTAATCCTTTGACATGACCGGTAGGGCCGGGATTGTAAGTTCTTTATTTTGCCACGTCCGGTGGTGCAGAAATTGTACGTCCTTTGACATGACTGGTGGGGCAGGGATTGTAATCCGTTTTCATGACCGTGTCGCAGGGATTGTAGTCCTTTGTCATGACCGATGGGGTAGGGATTGTAATCCTTTTTCATGACCTGTGTGGCAGGGATTGTAGTCCTTTGACATGACCGGTAGGGCAGGGATTGTACGTTCTTTATTTTTCCACGACCGGTGGTGCAGAAATTGTACGTCCTTTGTCATGACCGGTGGGGCAGGGATTGTAGTCCTTTGTCATGACCGATGGGGTAGGGATTGTAATCCTTTTTCATGACCTGTGTGGCAGGGATTGTAGTCCTTTGACATGACCGGTAGGGCAGGGATTGTACGTTCTTTATTTTTCCACGACCGGTGGTGCAGAAATTGTACGTCCTTTGTCATGACCGGTGGGGCAGGGATTGTAGTCCTTTGTCATGACCGATGGGGTAGGGATTGTAATCCTTTTTCCTGACCGGTGTGGCAGGGATTGTAGTCCTTTGACACGACAGTGGGGCAGGGATTGAAATCCTTTGACATTACCGGTGGGTCAGGGATTGTAGTCATTTGACATGACCGGTGGGGCAGGGATTGTAGTCCTTTGTCATGACCGGTGGGGCAGGGATTGTAATCCTTTGTCATGACCGGTGGGGCAGGGATTGTAGTCCTTTGACATGACCGGTAGGGCAGGGCTTGTACGTTCTTTATTTTGCCACGACCGGTGGTGCAGAAATTGTACGTCCTTTATCATGACCGGTGGGGCAGGGATTGGAGTCCTTTGTCATGACCGATGGGGCAGGGATTGTAATCCTTTGTCATAACCGGTGTGGCAGGGATTGTAGTCCTTTGACACGACAGTGGGGCAGGTATTGAAGTCCTTTGACATTACCGGTGGGTCAGGGATTGTAGTCATTTGACATTACCGTTGGGGCAGGGATTGTAGTCCTTTGTCATGACCGGGAGTCATTTGGCATGACCGTTGGGGCAGGACCGATGGGGCGGGGATTGTAATCCTTTGTCATGACCGGTGGGGCAGAGATTGTAGTCCTTTGACACGACAGTGGGGCAGGGATTGAAGTCCTTTGACATTACCGGTGGGTCAGGGATTGTAGTCATTTGACATGACCGGTAGGGCAGGGATTGCAGTCCTTTGACATGACTGGTGGGGCAGGGATTGTAGTCATTTGTCATGATCGGTTGGGCAGGGATTGAAGTCCTTTGACATGACTGGTGGGGCAGGGATTGGAGTCATTTGGCATGACCGTTGGGGCAGGGGTTGAAGTCCTTTGACATGACTGTTGGGGCAGGGGTTGTAGTCATTTGTCATGATCGGTTGGGCAGGGATTGAAGTCCTTAGACATGACTGGTGGGGCAGGGATTGTAGTGGTGGTGCAGAAATTGCACGTCCTTTGTCATGACCGGTGGGGCAGGGATTGTAGTCCTTTGTCATGATCGGTGGGGCAGGGATTGTAGTCATTTGACGTGACCTCTGGGTCACGGATTGCGCGTCCTTTCACGTGACTGGTGGGTCAGAGTTGCACCATGACATTAAGTACGGAGACGAATTTCATTCTTGGATGTCATGATGTGTTTTTCAGTGTATCCGTTTAGTGGCATACCCTTTGTGAAGGGTTACAGACTAATGAATTTAACCAATAACTCTATTTCGATGTATACCTGCGGCCATAGTTGACCTGAAAATACATTTGGTCCTAGGAAGGACAGGCGAGTCGGTAGTTTACCTCAATTAACCTGGGTATGATGACTATCTGGTGTTCAGCATTCCCCTCTCAATTATCACCGGTGTCTAATGTCCTGTAGCCTGTACTCTCAATGAACACCGATGTCAATTGGGGCCAGCGGACACAGCGACAACCTTAGTGGCCTTGAGAGAGGTGTTTGTTTATAGCCAACACCACGACAAAGATTTGCTATGGAGCTGATCTAGCACAAAAATGTGATATATCTTGTAGATCATGGCCCAATCCCATTGCTAATAATATTGGCAATAAAAATATATTTAACTAACAGAACATTGTCTAGCAATCCTTCCAGTGTTAAAATAGATAAAAACTCTCTTCAAAATACTCAACGATCAGGTTTAACAGGTAATCTCAATTTCGTACGAGTCTTTTGTGATACATGCAACGTCTTGAAGGATGAACGTAGCACACACACAGGGACTGGATTTCACCTTTACAAACTGTAACATAGGTGTGCTGTCGTTGTCACAATGGGGTTGCTTTGCGTCTTCAAGCGTAAAAATCAAACGTGTTCTTCCCCCAGAGCGAAGGTAAAGCCCGAGCTTGGTAGGATAAGACTTTTTTCGTTTTCGTTTAAACGGTTCAACCGGTCGGACCTCAGTTGTTCGTTTATTAAATAATGTCGGACCTAGTAATCTGATGATGCTTTCAGGCAAGCCTTGACAAAGCATTGCAAGGCCTGCATAATACCCGAAACTGTCACATTTAAAAACGGACAAACCGGTTGTTCCGCATAAACGAACAGGCCCCTAGTCTTACATATAAATTATATTTTGAAACGTTCCACTAAGTTTTGTGAACACTGAGCCACGTCACGCCCTACATAGCACATTTCAATTTCTTTTCAGACATAACTCTATGAATATTAATTTAATGGGGTCTTTACGTTTATGGTGCATTCTGTCTAGGACGCTGAACCGGATATCAGTAAGCACTTTGTTGCCGCTTTACATATTACCATTGGTCCTTTGTGACTCGATTGCTCAATGGGCCGTAAAACAATGCAACACTATTACATGCATATACATGTACCACAGGGGCATGCGAGTTATGCATCTAATAATAAATCTTTGATTGTTTGGACGCTGTTTTACTCGAACAAAAAATTATGTTGTGGATGTAACGGACAATAGAATACAAAAGTGATTGTTTTGGAAATATATGTAGTTAAGTACTACTGGAACGAGAACATTTGGTGTTCAGATTGGGGGCAAAGTCAGATTTGATTTGCTCGGATGACAGATTTACTTAAACGACAGTAATGCTTTTGAGTCTGTTAGGAATAAACTACACCACTTAATGTTTGAAAATCCCTGTTTCCTATATGTGACCTACATTTACCGGTTAAAGACAAGACATACACTACCGTGGAGTTCTTGTTAATGTTTTGAATATTGTAATACATAATTTTCTTCATAGAGAATGTGTGTAAACCACGTCATATCGTACCGACATCTGTAAAATAACGTTCAGTCCATGTTTCACTGTAAAAACATCCCTAGCTATCAGTCAACGGATTCATTCCCAGGTCATTACTGTGTTTTGTGTGTGTATCATCAATGAAACCATGGTAACGGAACAATAAACACTCAAAAAGTCGTCGTCACGTGAACGATTGAATCAGGTAAAACGCCCTCTAAGGCTTTTAAGAGTTACTAAGGTTGATGCGAACTGTAAAAAACGTGTGTGTGAACGATTGTGCCCAGCTGATCTAAATACTATTAAAATGTAAACATTGAGTCTTATTATTTTGCATTTCATCCAGTTGACAACACATCTACATTGGATGAGACCTAACAATCAAGCGGTCCGCCTTTCTTACTTCATTCAGAAGATGTCTGCAATTCATTTATTATAAACATCTAAACATATATATAAAAAAATCATATTGTTATCATCTATTTTTTTTGTATTTTCAGGAAGTTTTATTGGATCCATGATATTTAATATTCTGGGTATTATGCTCCTGCTGGCTTCTGTAGTGACGTGTGTGTTCACCCTCTGGGATCCAACAGACGTCTGCGGCTGCGTGGCCTGCTTCACTGACAAGCGGAAGTTCCTCCACGTCACGTGGTTAGCCTTACTAGCTGGTGAGAGCATAACCAATAGGTATACAATGATGTTATCTTAAAGTATATCTACTATTATCTATAGTTTATACTTGTGTAACAGGAGAGGGAAAATGCAACGGAGCCAGACCGGGATTCGAACCCAGGACATCCGAACTATAGACGGACGCTCAAACCAGTTGAAATATCTGTATTCACCTGGCTAAAACCAACTGCACAATTGTCTTGTTTTTCTAGGTCTGTGTACGGAAGACAACACTGCTATATTTACAACCCAGGTTTTGGTATCCCATTTCCAAGCATACACAAATACATAAAACACCACTAATGCAATGGGGCGAAATACGTTTTCGAACTGGGAACCTCCGAACTCTAACTGAACGCTGACACCAATTGAACTATCTGGTCACCGGTATTCACCGGGCCGAGTTCCACATAACTCTCTTTTTAAAGTAATCGTCCTAAAAACTAGGTACTTCTCTGTTGCAGGTATCCCCTTTCCAAACACACGCAAAACTTAAAACAAAAATTGGTCACAGAAACCAATGTCATAGGAACATGACAGTGTAACAGAGTGAGATAGGAATTCGTACTCGGGGCCTCCAAACCTTTGACTGGTTATCACCCGGTCCAGTTATAAATACTTCGTTACGTCAATGATATCCTGTTGTATGTAGTTACCTAAGTGTAACTACTGTTTTCTAAAGTTACAAGGGTATTATTTTATATATTCAAACATCGATTTCCATAATTAAATGTCAGAAACATATGCTTCAATTGATATTTCATGTTTGTTTAAACAAACGCTGTACTTCTAATCATGACAGATAATTTGTAGAGGTCAGAGTAGAAGTCATTTGGTACACCGTTTCCGCTTTGTAATGTATTTTTGTTTTGTTTTGCAGGTTTGTGTTTATTGGTGAGCGTGATCTGGTTCGCTGTGTCTGTGATAAAGGATATGAGGGGACTAGGACAGTTGGCAGTGGGCGGCGCCATAATAGCCGACTACTCCCTCGCCCTGGTAGCCATAGCAAGTGCACTGGCCATTCTTTTCGCACTTATCATGTCTATTTTACTGGTGAGAAATTTCTTCATCGGTACCCGAGAAGTCGTGATGAAACGCCGCATAGAGGAAGTCGAGTACACCGACGATCGTCTGACCATCCATTCCGAGTATTCGAAACGAGAGCCGCTTGCCCTGCCCGAACCTGTCTATACTGTTGCCCGTCCGGAACCCATGAGGATGATTCAAGCACCACCACAGGTTGTAGAAGTTCCGGTACCACAACCGGTAATGGTACCACAGCCGGTAGTCATGCCACCACAAGTGAGGTACGTTGAGGTGCCGAAGCCTGTTATACAGCGCCAGATCGTCAAGCAGTATGTCGACCGACCGGTACCTTTTCCGGTTCCGCAACCTCGACCAATCGTCATTCAGCAACAGGCACCGATGATGGTTGCCAGACAACCAGTCCCTATCCGTCTCCCCGCTCTCCCAGCTCCTCCTGTCATGGTCTCCGATCCTATCTACATGCAGTCCCCTCGCCCGTACATCGTCACAGAACCGGAGCCTATCAGAATGTCAAGATCTTTCCAGAGGAGTAAGCGTTATATGGGCGGAGCATATATGGCTGGTCAACCGATGGGGGGCGCATTCATGACACCAGGGCCACCTATGGCCATGCCTTTTGGGTATGGAACTGACTCGTTTGGAGACGGCGGAGAAATGATATACGACAGCCCCACGGACACTCGTCCTTACATACCTTAATACACAAGGTTCAATAAACACTGGACGAGTATTACACGTGAAAGAGGGTACAAAATTTGTAAAAAAAAATCAATCAAAATATAGTAATATTATATGTTACTAAATATCGTTGATGTAGATACTAGAACTTCGTGGAGTAAAATAAACATTGATTTTTTTAAATGTATTTTGCAAAACATCAGAGATTGTGCAAGACAATGAAGGACTGAAGTGCTATATTACGCACACTTAAGTTCATCTCTTTTAATAGGTTAGAACACGTGATCTGTCATGTTGGCTACTGCTAGATAGAATGGCGGGGTTGTTTTAATTAGTTGACGTTCGTATGGTTGACATACATTTCGGTACAAATCCATTAATGGTTGTAAGTTTATCTTCTATAGCTGATTAACAATTTGATATTATTTGATGACAACGAATCAAATCTTGTATAGTCTTGTAGAAACCTTTATTTACTGTAGTTGAGGTGTGTGGCATAGTCTATTTACAGACGGTTACTCGTGAACTTTTTGTACTGCCATCGGTGTTATTGTTCAATTAGCCGATGACTAGTTTTCAATGTATACATAATCGTGAAAAGCATAATATTATTTACGTGTTTACTTTCATGGCATTACTGTAATTTACTCCTATATATATATGCATGTTTGATTACGTGTTATAAAAACCTTATGTACTATACATCATTTTTTTTTATTAATACATGTTATTTGTATATAAAGTATATAATCTACAATTCTATTAAACTAAAGAGAACGGACACCCTTCACTTTTTTATTTTTTTATTTTGCATGTAACCTCCTGATTTTTGATTTCCTGATGTTTACACAGGCAGTTTTAGTTTAAACACATTTCATTGCAATATAATTACAAAAGGATTGGGCACAAGTTATTGCAACTTATAAACGCCCTTTCCATAATGCTTTACAACATATACATATAATGTAATTTCTAATAATACATAAATTAATTTACAACAAACAAATACCAGAGAGAGAGAGATAGATTTTAGTCTGACTTGTTCCATAATTAAAATGATATATTAAGATAATTAACTTATAACAATGTTATATAACAAACTTATCAAACTAATAACAATGTTGACCCAGTTGGACTATAAACACATTCATTACGCACTAAAAATTGTAATTGTAACAGGAAGTACCACACAAGAGTTCCATTTGACGTCACAGATTGAACATGTAGATAAAAGTTCACAAGGGTATTGGCCCGAGTGAAATATAACAACTCTCGCGATAAACGAGTGCAATCGGTAGTCAATTGAACACGTGTTATTGCGTTTAACATACCCAAAATTATTCTTAAAATGTGTTTTGTATTTTCTGGAAAATAGTATTCATCATAACACTATAAATGTTCCAGTTGCCAAAAAAAAAAGAAAAATAACGACGTCGAGGTGGAATAATGGCGTCCCAATATCACAGCGTAAAATGGAGCTAAAATGTTCTGAAGCTTGGCCAAACAAAGACTACAATGACGTTATGTCCATGTAAATGTGGAAGTGTTTACCCGGTATCTGTTTGTGAATTTTATGTAGATGGTACACTTACTTCTTAGCAAGGAATACTTGTCATTTTGATTCTTCAGAAGTTGAATTGGTCTCGTGAGAAACCACGTTGTTTCTTTCTAACGAATAAGATACGCGCGAATTTCCCAAAAAGGGACACTGCAGCGCTCTCGGCTTAAATCAGATTGGCTTTAAATGAACTTAGCTGGTAATGGGATGGTTAACCTTATTAAACCAAACCAAACTAATTAAGCTGCGGGTACTTCAAATATAAGTGTTTATTGTTACCCTAAAATTGAAACAATTTCACAAACGGAACTACAGAAATTGTACTGACTTTTGTAATGGTATATTTGATTACAACACATTTGTCCGAAAACATTTCCATTCACCTAGCAAAGGTTGTTCTCTCGTTCTAAAATATACCTTAACGTATCTTGATGCTTAGACCAGACGATTTCTATGCGAAACTTCACCATTTCATATTTTCCATAGCCCAGAAGTCAGAAATGCCTTTCTATAATACAAACTTTATCTATTTTATAACAATTATGAAACAAGTTTTACAACTTATATTAATCACTCTTGTTGGCCCGGATGTTCGCGCGCGGGGGTCTTAATGTGGGAGGAAACCGGAGTACCCGGAGAAAACCCTCGTAATTGAGCAGGTGACCCCATGCCTTTTCACGTCCGATCGGGGAATCGAACCCCTGGTGCCTTGGCGAAAGACAAGTGCGCTATCCACTATATGCCTGGGTCGATGGTATCCCTGGTAACTAAGTTTGTATCTTTAAGCACGATTCTGTTACTCGCCATACCATAGTGCTATTATTGCGATTACTACCTGTCGGACGAGTGTAATGATTTGGAGCGGATGATTTAAGATGTGGTTGTGCCAATTCTGGTCTCATGTTAGATCTAAAGAATGACGTCAATGACCCTGACTGACCCCAAAACGTCATAAAATGACGTCACGAACAATAGCATGACCCCGAAATTAAAGATCACTATAATTCCTCCGCCAGTCTGCGCGTGTAAGCGATCTAGACCCGTGGATCGGATAGAATTTTCCAGCACCGCCGGAAATGCGGATATCTCGGTCTAGTATGCAAGAAAATCTTTCCGGGCAACAAAGGATTGTTGTACAATCTGTTTTTAACTGGAATTAGTTGATTAATATATGAAGCGCAACTGTCTCTTGTGTGTGCTCCTAAAAGAGTATGGAGGCAACTCTGCTAGACTTAAATTCCAGTCTGGGTCGGATGTAGTCCGACTGCAACAGCACTCTTCCATATTCCCCCCCCCCAGAAAATGTGTTTGAATGAAAGGTTTAACTGCATCTTTAGCACTTACGATCAAAACGCAATCTACCTCGCTATTTCGACAATGTATTGTTGCTGTAAAGTTTAAAATTTTGTCGTTGATTTGTTACATGATCGAATATCTTCACGAATAGAATATCTCCGACTTTTCTCGAAGATTTCTATGTTGGTAAGATATTTCCTGGGTCCACAATCATCTGTATCGTTTATTTGCCACCAAGACGCCCAAACGATTCGTCCATTGTTTCTTGAATACCACACTTTGTTTTCTCTAACCATTTCACGATAACTGTGTCTCGGTTGACCTTGCTTCTTGGTGTTTTAACAGGTGCTTCCTTACGTTAAGGAATCTTTATACAAGTTATAGAATCTTGATTTAGTGTCGAATATGGTTAAACAATAAGCTCTTAGGAGCTTGCATTTTGACAAACAATGTAAATAGAACGTAAACATTGATAACAACACAAGATCATCAGAACATGACATACATGAACTGAAATAACAGAAAAACATAAAATCATAAAAACATGCGACACTGAATGATAGTTACTGAAAAGACAAGCACATGCACACTATATGTATTGGCACCACGAAACTGAAACTACATTCACACAGGCACTGTGATCAGTAAAAGCAGCATGCAGACATGTCGAACATTAGTACTAAAAGCTGAAGCGGCTAAAAACAATATACATACAAGCTTACTTTAACTAGACATTAATACATAGAATCACATTCAGCATGAAACAATATACATACAAGCTTACTTTAACTAGACAGTAATACATACAATCACATTCAGCATGAAGAAATATACATACAAACTTACTTTAACTGGACATTAATACATACAATCACATTCAGCATGAGACAATATACATACAAGCTTACTTTAACTAGACAGTAATACATACAATCACATTCAGCATGAAAAAATATACATACCAGCTTACTTTAACTGGACATTAATACATACAATCACATTCAGCATGGAAAAATACACATACAAGCTTACTTTAACTAGACATTAATATAACAATCACATTCAGCATGAAAAATACACATACAAGCTTACTTTAACTAGACATTAATACATAGAATCACATTCAGCATGAAAAAATATACATACCAGCTTACTTTAACTGGACATTAATACATACAATCACATTCAGCATGGAAAAATACACATACAAGCTTACTTTAACTAGACATTAATACATACAATCACATTCCGCATGAAAAAAAAATATACATACCAGCTTACTTTAACTGGACAGTAAAACATACAATCACATTCAGCATGAAAATATATACATACCAGCTTACTTTAACTGGACATTAATACATAGAATCACATTCAGCATGAAAAAATATGCATTCAAGCTTACTTTAACTAGACATTAATACATACAATCACATTCTGCATGAAAAAATATACATACCAGCTTACTTTAAATGGACAGTAATAAATACAATCACATTCAGCATGAAAAAATACACATACAAGCTTACTTTAACTGGACAGTAATACATAGAATCACATTCAGCATGAAAAAATATGCATACAAGCTTACTTTAACTAGACATTAATACATACAATCACATTCCGCATGAAAAAATATACATACCAGCTTACTTTAACTGGACAGTAATACATACAATCACATTCAGCATGAAAAATATGCATACCAGCTTACTTTAACTGGACATTAATACATACAATCACATTCAGCATGAAAAAATACACATACAAGCTTACTTTAACTAGACATTAGTAAATACAATCACATTCAGCATGAAAAAATACACATACAAGCTTACTTTAACTAGACATTAGTAAATACAATCACATTCAGCATGAAAAAATATAGATACAAGCTTTCTTTAACTGCACAGTAATACATACAATCACATTCAGCATGAAAAAATACACATACAAGCTTACTTTAACTGGACAGTAATACATACAATCACATTCAGCATGAAAAAATATAGATACAAGCTTACTTTAACTGCACAGTAATACATACAATCACATTCAGCATGAAAAAATATACATACCAGCTTACTTTAACTGGACATTAATACATACAATCACATTCAGCATGAAAAAATATACATACAAGCTTACTTTAACTGGACATTAATACATACAATCACTGTTTAACGACATTTTTTCAACCTCTAATAATTTGGTCAATATACAAGGTAAGACCCCGTAATTTTGTATATAATTTTACTCTACTAAATATTTCCGAGCAGGAAAGTTGTAAATCATTTATTGGCTGAGTTTTAGAAATGCACAAAAATACAATTTGCGCTAATCCCTGATTGAACTAATCACCTTTTAAACAGCTGGGCCCAGGACATTACCTTTAGCACACAGCACACCTGTAGGTGAGGCCATTCCATGTGTCTAGAGCTGTCTACGAAACTCCCCAAAGTCTTCAACCTGTCGTAGGTCAATGGGTAGGCAGGACCAATGGAGGGCGGCCTCATACCGGCAAAAATACTATCCATACCTGCTAGTTTTCATCCTTGATACCTTAACTTTATCCTCTTTTCTAAAATTATAAAAAGAACTTTTCTTAATAATAAGTTCCTATATGTATTCAGGAGACATATGTTTGAAAATCTTAAAATCCTCGCATGCTAAAAGTTCCATCCGTTTAATGTATAAAAAGAAGAGTGTAGATAAAAGAAGTGTTTTGATATCAGAAGTATAAGAATTTAAAACAAATCGCAAGGCTCTTTTTTGAACGTTTTCTAATTTGTTAGTTGCGGTCTGGTTACAAAAATGCCACATAAAAAGGCAGCAGTCAAAATCGAAAGACTTGTAAATTAGCATCTTAGCTGTCCTTGGTAAAAAGTGACAAATTCTTTTTTAAAACTGCCAGCTGCCTGGATGTCTTCCT